GCATTTTATGGGCAGGGCTGATCTGGGCAACTAGCACTGAAGTCTCGAAAGCAGCGTTTGTCGGGAATAACGGTATTTTACTTTTTATTCTTAGCTTTCTAACTTTCTTCGCCTTTACCAGCGATATTTTTAATTACAAAATGCAGTTAAATTTTGATGTTGAATTCCCCATGTAATGGACGACCGCGGTGTAAAAAACCCAAATCCTTTAAAAATGCAACAGATACAAGTGATGGCTACATCTTTGGTCAAAATGATTTTGAAAATGAACGATGATGACAGTGATCATAAACGTAATGATATAAGGAGGAAGAGAACAACGACGATGATAGTAACCACCGATCTTGACGTAATCAATCAGCCATAAAAATGATTTTGATTATCATCTTCATGACTAGGATGGTCAGTGTTATGCTCTCCGTTGCAGTTCTTCAGCAAATGCCACCCTGATGGACTTATCGTCGAATTTTAACGCACCACAGTGATGATGACTGTGAGTAGGAATAGGTCAACGATGACGATGGTAACGGTGATTAACACGACCAGGTTCATTGTCATTATTATAAATGATGATGAAAATGGTTTTGATTATCACTATAAAGACTAGGACGATCATTATCATGATATTCGTGGAAAATCTGCAGCAGATGCTTGTCGTTAGTTTTTGAGGTGACACGATGATAATGATCATTTCATTACCACTGTTCAACTTTTACCCGTGCCCGTAAGTTTATCAGTCCTCCTTCAATTTGTTCGATACGTTGATTATGTAGTGCTAATTTCGGCTGACGGATGTCGTAAAATCATCCGAAGTAACAGGGTGCCTGTGGTGGAAATCGAGCAACTAATTTATTAGAGCTGCTTTACGATCAACAGTTACAATAGGTTTAAAAAGACAGAGCTATGTAAGGAAGAGTTATAAGTTAGAATATATGTCGTTCGTAGCCTAACAAAGAGCAACAACTGAGAACAAATTCATCCAACGTGCTTGCAATGTTAATTAAATGGGAGTTGTTCTAAGCGATCATTTAGACTGAGCTGATCAGGTAAATTCGATGTTGTCTGAAGCATGCAGAGACCCTTTTATCTACGGAAGTTACTGAGATTCTTGGTGCAGCATTCAGGCTAGATGGCTGATCTCTTCATCTCCCTTTGCTTGATAAAGGTGATTATTTGTCGACCGAGTGATATTTTCACAAAAAAGGATGTTCTACAAAGAATAGAATTTCACATTCTTGGCTGAGCTGTCTTATTGATTTCGTACGTCAGCATGATCGACTCACCTTGATCGAATTTTAGTTTAAATGGATGTCAGAACGAAGGTACCGCAGATATGAACACTGAAGATGGATCTACAGTACAAGTAAATGTAGAAAAGTCTGCGTCAGGGAAGGCCAGTTCTACTCAAAAAGACATAAAACAATAAATACGCAACATTATGAGATGAAACAACCCTGACTTAAGAAAAACAATGCAACTTGGATAAGATAGATTACAGATCCCGAAATCATCAAAGCAGAATCCGAAAGCAACTATTATTAGACACTGTCATTCGAAAACCAAGAAATAAATTGACAGCGCACCAGTGCAGTCAGTATCGAAAAAAGTTCAAATTAGAAGATCAAGAAGCGCTGTTCATTTAAACTGAATGATGTATGAACAGGGACAG